AGTTTGGGCAGGTGTGCACTAGTGAGTATTTCCTCTGCAACTTTAGTATTGATCTGTTCCTCCAAGTACAAAGACTTATAAAAGGAGGTAAGAAGAGTATTTATTTCATAGGACGTAGTAAGCAGTGAACCCTTAGGGGTTTGGAGTGTAAAAATGTATGTAGGGCAGTGGGCTTGTACATAGACGAGCCAATTTGCCCAATTTGATGCCATATCTGTGAAATTTAAGCGATAAGATAGCTTGGCTGCCTGCTGTTGTTCAGCCCAGTAGTCAAAAGGCACCTTTGGCAGATTGCCAAGCCAATTTGGTAGCTGGCATGCGATAAAGAGAAAGATCAATGTGGGCTTGACGAAGGGTTTCCCTTGCCCGTTGATATTGAAGTAGGGATTGTTTTTTAAATTGTGTGGTATATGAGACTATTTGCTCTGGAGAAATGCTTTTCCTGCTTCCCAAAAAAGGTTGGGATTAGTAATATGGGCTCCATTGGTGGCGCAAACTCTGCCCAAGCAGTATAAAGGATATGTATGAAATCATTGTTATTTGATAAGTAGGAAGGGAAGCACCAGGATCCAGTGTGGGGGAGGGGGTATCGGTGATTTTAGTCCAGACAAGTGAAGTAATAAAGGACAGTGGTCAGAGATAGCCATATCACATATGACAGTCTTTCAAGTCAGAGGTAGGAAGGCAGATGACTAGAAGAAGTAATTAGTACAAGAAAAGGAATTGTGTGGATGGGAGTAGAATGTATATTGAGAATTCATTGGGTGTGTTAGACACCACATATCATTGAGATTGAGTAGAGATGGATTGAGCTAGGAGAGTAGGAGGAGGGGCCTGAGAAGTTTGCTGTTTGTGTCGTGGCGAGTGGTCGCTTGTGCGGTCAGCAAGTGGATGCGTGACAGAGTTAAAGTCCCCGCCAAGCATGTGGCAAGGTTTTAGGGATTTGTATAGCCTAAGAGACCAAATCTTTAAAAAAAAAAGGCCTGCCCTGGGGAGTTGGGGGCATGGATGTTGGAAATAGCAATGTCACAAGAAGCGATAGTCAAGTGTAAAGTGAGTTTGCAGAATCAGAATTGGTTTCGATAGAGTGCATGGTATGGCACAGGTGTTTATGTAATATATTATTATTATACAGGATTTATATGGCACCAACAGTTTGCTCAGCGCTTTACAATATAACGGGAGACAATACAGCAATGATACAGTTCAATACAAGAGGGTTAGGAGGGCCCTGATCCTTGGAGCTTACAATCTAATAGGGAGGGGCTATTGGAACAAAAAGGTAATAACTGTGGGGGATGGACTGGTAGGAGGAATAGAAGATTCCCTTATTAGCTGAAGGCAGGATAGCTTGTCCTAAAGAGATAGGTTTTCAGAGATCGCCTAAAAGTGGGCAGAGTAGGTAATAGTTTGATTTGGGTAGAAAGTTCCAGAGGATGGGGGAGGCTCTGGAGAAGTCCGGGAGATGAGCATGGGAGGAGGAAACAAGTGAGCTAGAGAGCAGGAGGTCTTGTGAGGAGCATAGAGGACAGTTGGGGTTATAAATGGTTTTATATGTTATTGTTAATGTTTTGAATTTTATTCATTGAGGAATGGGACGCAAGTGGAGGGATTGGCAGAGAGGGATGGAGGACACTTAGTGGAAGCCAGTGGAGGGATTGGCAGAGAGAGATGGAGGACAATAAGTGGAGGCCAGTGGAGGAATTGGCAGAGGGATGGCAGATATGGAATGGTTGGTAAGGTGGATGAGTCTGGCACCAGCATTCATGATAGACTGAAGAGGGGATAGCCTGCGATGAGGTCGGCCAATGAGGAGGGAGTTACAATAGTCAAGCCGAGAGAAAACAAGGGAGTAAATAAGTTGCTTAGTAGTTTCAGAGGTTAAGAAAGGGTGTATCTTGGAGATGTTGCGGAGGGGAAGTCTACAAGATTTGGACAGTGATTGGATTTGGGGCTGAAAGGACAGATGGGAGTCTGGGATTACACCTAGTACCCCCTGGCATGGGGGGGAGAGACTGATGGCTGTATTATTGATCTTGATGGAGAAGTCAGGGGAGGGGGGGCATGGGCTGCAGGCTCCGTTTTGGAAAGATTGAGTTTGAGGAAGTGGAGTGACATCCATGCCGATATGTCACTTAGGTTAGTAATGCGAGAGGAGACTGAAGCGGTGAGGTGAGGAGTAGAAAGATAGATTTGTGTGTCATCAGCATAGAGATGGTACTTAAAGCCATGGGAGTTTATCAAGTGACCAAGGGAGGAGGTGTAGATGGAGAAGAGAAGGGGTCCAAGGACAGAACCTTAAGGGACCCCTACAGAAAGAGGGAGTGGAGATGAGGAGGCAGAGTTAGAGGTAACACTGAAAGAGCAAATCTCAAGACAAGTGAGCGCTTAAAACAACTTATAAAATCAATAAGTGAACAAAATTAAATTAAACGAGAAAATAGCAGCTGAACACCAAAAAGGTAACATAAACCTTCACAATAATCAGAATGCATAAAGGGGGGAGGTGCAGCGCTAACTTAATGAATATACACTTAAATAGTTACACAAACCAATGTTAAGGTGCTATTAAAGTGCAAAACGGTGACTAAAATGAGTATAGTCCATAACGTGTTCAAAAAGTGTTCAAAACCCAAGAGTCTTCAAAAAGCTCCAAAGCCTGGATTCGTGGATGAGGTGATAAAAGTATAAAGATTGCACACTCACCAGATACGCAATCCAAATGCGCATTCAAAGCAGATAATCCTAGGGTCCTCATATGGATCTGGTCAGATCTGGTCACTACATTTTCTACTCAGTTTAAAACAATCACGAGAATAATTAACCAGAATTGGAAAATCCTTAAAGCAGATCCGGTTTTGACGAGGATCTTGCCAGATAAGCCGGAGATTATGTTCAGGAGGGCACAACCTTTGAGAAACACGATAGCCCCTAATATCATTAATCCGCCCATTAAAAACAACGTTTTTTAACATGGTTGGATTTTTCCCGTGTAATAATTGTATTATATGTACTTGTAATGGACATAGGAAAAGGAGGATTGATGATTTTACATCCACCAGTACTGGGAAGAATTATAAGATTAATAACTTCATATCATGCAATAGCAGATATGTCGTTTATCTTTTGCAATGTCCGTGTAAAAAACAGTATGTAGGTCGTACCACCAGGAGACTTAGAGACCGACTGCGGAAACACGTTAATAATGTGAGAAAGGGCTACAGAGAGCACTCGTTGTCAATGCATTATAGGACTCATCACAACAGAGATCCATCTTCCTTGACATTTGTAGGAATTGATGTAGTACAGAACCATTGGAGGGGAACGAACAAAAAGAGAACAGTTTTCCCAGATGGAAACTAAATGGATTTATCAAATTGATTGTATGCGTCCTAAAGGACTTAACATAGATATGGACATTAACTGTTTCATTGACAATAGTTAGTATCATTGTTTATCTCTTTGAACTTTTTCAGTGTCTCTCTCCCCCCTTTTTATCGCTACCCTTTTTTATCGCTACTTTTTTGGTTTTTGGTTTTAGGTCATAGCGAAGTAGATTTTTTAAATTGATTATATGTAGAGAAATAAGTTCTCTGTATATATACAGTTTTACTCTAATTTTTTTAACTTATATTATTATATGTTTATATGATTGTTGTAATATGTTATATGTTCTTCTGCATTTGAAATTTTGAATGTGAACTTATTAAAGAGTGTGGCACTAGCAATGACCACCAGGTATAATTTATATTTTAAATTTAACCATATCTAAATCTGACCTTTTTTGCATCGAGAATTATGTGTAGATCAGACTGTTAATACTATTACTGTCTGTCCTTAATCTACATATGAGTTTTTGGATAATAAATTCCCCTTGACGATTATTATGCCACAGAACTGGACAACCTGATACTGACGACGCTAATTAGATCATTTATGGGGCTGCTTTGCCTTTAATCTGCGTCGCGTATAGGTTGCTGGGCAATACACCTTTCCCTGGTGATCATCGTTATGCCGTTTACTGTGTGATTCCGTGCTGACAGCGCTCGCACATGCGCTGTTCGGCGGGCTACATGAAAATGGCGCCCGATACGGAGACATTTGCGGACGGGAAAATGGCGCGCGGTCACAGCGCATGTGCCATTTTCCTTATTTAGGTCCCACATCGACGTCCACTGCTGTAAGCTAACCCCCTATGACTACGTGCTTTCGCACGGAACGCGTCAGGGAGCGGCTACAGCGGTGTGACGTCACGCCGACCGGCGCCACGAGGGCCCCGGCGGCCATTTGTTATCTTTATATGGTCAGTATCTCTCCTGCCTCTGCCTGTATACTGTGTGTCTTTGGGAATAAATACCCCTTGCCTATAAGGTATCACACTATTTGGCCTCCTTTGTTCTTTGAGCTCCGTTGGGAGCCCTTTACATCTGCAGAGTGGCCCCCCCCTTTTTTCTTCTATGCGTGGCAAACACCATCGAGTGACGAGGGGCTTTTGTGACCAGATCTGACCAGATCCATATGAGGACCCTAGGATTATCTGCTTTGAATGCGCATTTGGATTGCGTATCTGGTGAGTGCGCAATCTTTATACTTTTATCACCTCATCCACGAATCCAGGCTTTGGAGCTTTTTGAAGACTCTTGGGTTTTGAACACTTTTTGAACACGTTATGGACTATACTCATTTTAGTCACCGTTTTGCACTTTAATAGCACCTTAACATTGGTTTGTGTAACTATTTAAGTGTATATTCATTAAGTTAGCGCTGCACCTCCCCCCTTTATGAACACTGAAAGAGCGCTGCGATAGGTAGGAGGAGAACCAGGAGAGAGCAGAGTCTCTGAGGCCAAGAGAGTGGAGTTTTTTGAGGAGGGGACGGTCAACAGTATCAAAAGCCGCAGAGGTCAAGAAGAGTATAGAGTAGTGGCCATTGGTTGGGATGAGTATGGAGTAGTGGCCATTGGTTGGGATGAGTATGGAGTAGTGGCCATTGGTTGGGATGAGTATGGAGTAGTGGCCATTGGTTGGGATGAGTATGGAGTAGTGGCCATTGGTTGGGATGAGTATGGAGTAGTGGCCATTGGTTGGGATGAGTACAGAGTAGTGGATATTGGTTGGGATGAATATGGAGTAGTGGCCATTGGTTGGGATGAATATGGAGTAGTGGCCATTGGTTGGGATGAATATGGAGTAGTGGCCATTGGTTGGGATGAGTATGGAGTAGTGGCCATTGGTTTTAGCAGTTAATAGATCATTAATGAGTTTTAGTTGGGCAGTTTCAGTGGAGTGTAGTGAGCAAAAGCCAGACTGTAAAGGGCCAAGAAGGTTGTCGGTGAGGGAGGAGCTCAGGCGATTGTAGACTAAGCGTTCTAACAGTTTAGAAGTAAACAAGAGCAGGGAGATGGGTCTTAAGTTGTTCAGGTTGGTGGGGTCCAGCGAGGGCTTTTTAAGTATGGCAGTGATGTGTGCATGCCTTAGAGGGGTGAGGAAGGCACCATTAGAGAAGGAGAGATTGAAGATGTGAGTGAGTGAGCATAGGATAGAAGAAATGTAATAGAAAAGCTATGCCCGCTTTGCGACCTATTATAGCAGGAGAGCCATATACCTGACCAACCCATAGTTTAGAAAGACATGCAAGATCATGTGCAGCCAGGTGTGTCTCTTGCATAAGAGAAACATCCGCCTGCAAACGCTTAAGACCTGCTTATTCTTGTTAGGATAACATAGCCCCTTAAAATTCCAAGAGATTACTTTTAGATGATCCCTGTAATCTGAAGAAGCCATGTCTTCTTTGTTGAAGAAAAATAAAGTAGCCCAAAGAAGGGCAACACCACTTCACGCATTGCCCCAATGAGTCCAGGGTCACAATTAAAGGGAAAGATGATCTACAGAAACATAAGTGGAATAATTAACAAACCAAACCACCAAGAAAAACATAGCAGGAGGGAAAAATCTCCTTTCAGTCATCTGGGACTTTTTTTTTTTTTTTTTTTCCCCCACATGGAACAACCTTCATGGGAACTCCCACCTTGGAGGGACATGGTTTGAGGATGGGAGGTATGTTCAGGAACAGGGAGGGAAAGACCGGAGAGGGAGAGGTAGGGGAATGGGGAGTATTAGGAGGGGGAGGGTAAAAAGAGGGGGGCTGGTAAGGGAAATACCAATAGAGGATGTGGGGTTTAGGAGAAAGCTGTGTCCGATGAATAAAGAAGGCCATGATAGAGGCAGACACACTAAGGTGCCAGCTGTGCTAGAAACCATAAATGGGCCAATGGCTGCTTAGGTGGCTAACAAGGGGAGATGCAAGGGGAATTTAGGCTAAAACATGAAAACATCTAAACCACATATGAACAAACATGGATGTGTAAAATAGCCATAACATGTGGGTAACAATATATCAGAGGGATACTTGCATACAGGCCTTTCAGCTGTAGGTGAAGTACGAGCAGAGGCAGTTCAATGGTTGTAGCGTTCTGTTCAGCCAAATTGCACCCATTTGTTGATTTTGAGACAATGCAGATTTTCCCCTGGGGGGGGGGGGGGGGCGGAGGTGAGGAAGAGGGTCTCCATTAGTAGGTTGGATATGTAGCACATCAGGGTATGCCAGTGAAAATGTGATGCGTTTGTGGTGCGTTTGTGGTGGAGGGTGGGACAGATGGCGGAGAATGCTTTACATTGTCACATCACCTCAATGGAATACTCATCAAATAAGAATAGCAGTTGATCATCAACAGAGATGTTGTGTGCCCTCCAAAATTTCGGAAGGATGGCTTGCTTATCTGCATAATTGAGGTAGTGGACAATCACCGGTCTAGGGTTTAGAGCGAGTCCAATGGAGGTCTGATACAGTGAGATTGTTTAATTAGACAGGACAAGCGGAGGCCCGGTTGTTCTGGGGATGTTTGTGGAGCAAATGTTGATCAACATAGGCAGTGTGTAGGTTTTGGGCAGCCCTATGATGCACAGGTTACTCCACCATGAGCAGTTTTCAAGGTCATCTATCTTGTCAAACAGCTCCTTTGTGAGGTATGTAGTGAGTCTGCGTACAGCTGCAGCAATGGCCACAAAATCATCTTCCACAGTGGCTATCCTTTCCTCTGCCAGTGTAATCCTCTGGGTCATGGGATGTAGATCTCTGTGACACTGCACTGGCCCTTTAACCACTTCCCGACCGGCCCGTTGCATATAAACGGCCGGACGGTGGCAGTGCAGGGTCGGGTGGCCGTTTATGAATGGCCTCCCCGCACCCTGCTTGTGCGCGCGCTCCCTGGGAGCGCGCAGCACCGCAATCCGGTGCCCGCTGTGTCCTCCGGACACAGTGAAACACCGATCGTCGGACGGGACCTCTGTACGAGGTCCCGATCATGTGATCACTGATTGGCCAATCAGTGATCACATGCAAAGTAGTAAGCAAGATGTCACTTGTGACATCATTGCTTACTACGTGTGAAATCTGTGAATGATCACAGAGGTCACATGGTACAAGGCTATTCACAACAGCCTTGTACCATGTGACAAGCTGTGACCAATCACAGCTCACTCAGTACTTCTCAATAAGTGCAGGAATGCACACAGAGAGAAAGAGAAATGATTGCTTTTACATCCTATATGGGTGTAAAAAGCAATCATTGTAAAAAAAGAAAAAATCTTCATCACCCCCCACAAGTAGTACAGTGTCACCATGGTGACACTGTACTGCTAGGGTGACATTATAAAAAAATAAATAAATAAAAAATAATATAAAAAAATAAAATAAAAATGTAAAAAAAAAAATGTTTTAAAAATTATAATTTTTGGTTATAAACTAATTTGTTTTTTGTTTTTTACTAAAAAGATAACGGAATACATTTTGGCAAAGATTTATGATGAAATATTATTTATTTGCAAAATTTTATAAAAAAAACACTTTTGTTCAAACTTTTTGGACTTTTTCATTTAAATAGCAAAAAAAATAAAAATCCCAGCAGTGAATAAATACCACCAAAAATAAAGCTTTATCTGTCTCAAAAAAATGGTAAAAATTAATTTGGGTACAGTGTTGCATGACTGCGCAATTGTCATTCAAAGTGTGATAGCACTGAAAGCTGAAAATTGCCCTGGACAGGAAGGGGGTAAAAGTGTCCGGTCTGGAAGTGGTTAAGAAGTGAATAACAGCTTCAGTAAAGGTGGGGGTGAGGAGCGCTACCACCGCCTGTGCTATCTCAGCCGGTGATGTAGGATCATGGGTAGCCTGAGGAGGTGAGGGCTGGGGCGGCATGTGATTAGGGTGTTCTCCTGGATCGGAGCGTGCGCTATCTTGGCTGCAGCAGTTGCTGAGTCCCCTGTGACAGGTGAGGAACAGGAGGCAAGTGGGTGCTCAGCTGCTTGAGAAACTTGTCTATTGGGGTACTCCTGAGGCAGAGGAGGGAGAGGGAGGGAGAAAAAAAAAAAATTTGTAACAGTACCATTCCCATTAATAATTATTATAATAATTATAATCAGAGTTAAATATAAGAAATAATCTCCACCCAACTAGAGGTATGGGACAATCTAATATTACGATTATTGGTATTTACGTCCCCACAAAATGATCCAGGGATTTTATGTCACCTTGCCATAGGAAGAGGAGATCATCTATATACCGCCGCTAGAATATGAACTCCAGCCTATCTTGAGAATAGATGATGTCCTCCTCCCACCTGGCCATAAACAGGTTTGCAAGACAGGGCACCAATTTAGTGCCCATGGCAACTTCCCTAGTTTGCGGAGAGAGAGAAAAAAAAACTTTGTTGAACCAAAAAAAGTTGTGTGTCATAGCAAAATCAAGCAATTGGAGAATAAACTGTTTTTGAATACCTGGAAGGTCCACAGCTTTCCATCCGTAAAAATCCACTACCTCCATCCCATCCTTGATATTGCTATATAGCCAGGCAATATCTGCCATCACTAAAAAAGTACAAAGGATTGGTCACCACCTCCTGCAGGTCGATTAGCACTTGATTGGTATCTTTAAGAAAAGTGGGAGTCCCTCCCACTAGGGGCTGAAGGAAAAAAAAAAAAGTATTTCCTGGCACACCTCATATCACCATGGGCTGATCCTCCGTAGATAACCCCCAGGACAACCTCCAATAGCTAGAATAAAAGTCCCTCCCTCCTGATCCACGGTGTTCTTTTTCGGTCGCTCGAGGCCACCTGCCAAAGGTTTCCAGATTGGATGGGTGTTGATGAGCAGTATCCCCGCTACAGCACCTCCCCCTAGGTTCTCAGCCTCTCCTGGTTTGGAAGACCCAGCGTATGGGTGGTTAATCCCCCTAAAGCCAAGTTACCCTTGTGCCTGGGTTGCGGGAAAAGCACATATTTCACTGGTCTTTGAGGTGCTGATGAACGCTGTGCTACGCCCTCTATTCTCCTCCATGCTGTGTTACCTTAGTGCAGTGTTTCTCAACTCCAGTCCTCATGGACCCCCAACAGGTCATGTTTTCAGGATTTCCCTCAGATGAAACAGCTGTGGTAATTACTAAGGCAGTGAAACTGATCAAATCACCTGTGCAAAATAATGGAAATCCTGAAAACATGACCTGTTGGGGGTCCATGAGGACTGGAGTTGAGAAACACTGCCTTAGTGTGACATGCTCTCTTCTTATCCTCTTTGGAGGGTGTGCGCTTTCCACTCATCACCTGGCAACCAAGTAAACAAATAGCATAGCCTTGGATAGCTGTGCAGTCGCGTTTCCTGCCTCTCTGCTTGTCGGTTCCAGGTCAGCCAGTCTTTCACTCTCTGACTTCCTTCCTATCAGATGAGGCTGTAGCTTGAATAATGCTGCTTTTCTTTTAGTCCTGATTGGTTAATGACTTTGAACTTAGCAAGCCGCCATTTGTATCCTGTTGCCTTCCCTCACTAAGCTGCTTAACCACTTGCTGACTGCAGATAGCCAAATGACGGCATCACTGCGGCCGGCCAGTTCTGGGAGGGTGTCATATGATGTCCTCCCAGAATGCGCCCTCCAGCGCGACCCTGGTGATCTCCATGATCACTGTATCCTACGGACACAGCTGATCACGTGATGTGGTAAAAGGCCAATCACAGCAGCCTTTTACCACATGATCAGCCATGTCCAATGACACAGCAGATCATCAGTAAATGCAGTTGCTGGTTATCAGCTGCACTTTCCTCACGCGGTCACAGTGTGAGGAAAGTACTGCCGATAAACCGGCAATTGTCAGAGGAGGGATTGGCACTGATGATCAATGCCCAGCAGTGCCACCCATCTGTGCCCAGCAGTGCCACCAACCAGTGCCTAGCAGTGCCACAAACCTGTGCCGCCAAGCAGTGCCCATCATTGTTACATATCAGTGCCAGCTCATCACTGCTGCCTA